TTTTTTTTTTTGTTGTTATATAGTTATTATTTTGTATACAAGACCCTGGCAGCCTGGTCAGCTCTGTATTTACCCCCGGCTTGTTTCATTGTCTTGTCAAGATTATGAGCTGGAAAAGACGGATAAACTAGCCGTTTTTTTCTTTCTCCTTTTGTGTTTACTTTTCTAAATACTCAGCTCTTAGAAACAAAAAGAAAAAAAAACAATAATATTAAATAACCAATGGCAACCAAGCCAAAGGAGTCTAGGTTCGTTGGCGTCACAATGTTCGCCCTTGGTGCCCGATTTACCGCTTAGGAGGCAGACAATTCGCAATTGTCCAAACATTTGTTTGCATCCTACCTGCTTGGTTGGTATTCGCCTCTATAAAAGCCCGCGACAATATTAGTAACTACAGTTTTACGGAGTCCTCCGTACACGCATCAGCATAGCCGCCAATTGTGGCTTTTGCCCCCATGGCCTTGTTCCCTTGGCATAGAGCGCCGCCTCCGCAACCAATTTCATTTTGACAGGAAGAATCCCCAAGAAAAGATTGTCGGCCCCCAGCTCTCAGTGTGTGTTATTCCACTCGACTCAATATAGCCCACAGTTCAACCCCACCGACCCCGGCTTCCGCATCACCAAACCGGCACACACCCCCCCCCTTCCCCCTCTTCCTTCCTCCTCCCCCAAGTTCTAGCACCAATGACTATTCGGTCCATTCCACCTAGTTGTGAATAGCTTGTGTCGGCCCCATAAGTGCGACAGGGTTCGTGTTGCCGTCTTGTGCGTCCTCTCGTTCCCGGAGTCGTCCACGTCGTCCTACCCCAGTATCCGTACTTTGCGCTTCTTCTTGACTCCGCTGCCGTTTGGGGTGACTTGAATCTGTCCCCCTCCATTGGGCGAATATGCATGGAGCAAAAGATGGATTTTTGTCGGCGTCTGGGGTTTCCCCCTCACAAGATGGACCAGCTTATAAGAAGCGAGGCTGTCCCCCACCCTCCTCCTCGGCCTACCCTCTCGCTTCCTACCTGATCAGGACTCCATAGCTTGTTTGGTGTTTCAGCCCGACTTTTCATCTATTTTCTGCTTCATTCTTGATTAATTTTTCCAATTCGACTTGGGGTTTCTCCCGTCTTTACAGCAAATAACACACACACACACACACACACACACACACCATGTCTGCTCCCGACGCCGCCGTCAACAACAGCATTGCTGCTGAAAAGGACCTCGCCCCCAACAACGTCGGCCACTCGCGCTACCAGCACCCGACCTACCGAGCCTACGTTGATGGCCAAAACACGCAGGCCTTTGGCGGTGCTCTGCAAGTCGGAAACTGGCAGCCCTACGAGCACCGCAAGCTGGCCAACCCTGCTCCTCTGGGTCTCTCTGCCTTTGCCCTGACCACCTTTGTGCTGTCCGCCCTAAACATGCACACTCGTAATACCTCGGCTCCCAACATTGTCGTTTCTCTGGCTTTTGGATACGGCGGTCTTGTCCAGCTTCTTGCTGGCATGTGGTACGTTGCTACAGCGCCGTCTTTGGTGGGAACTTGATCCACCACCAAATGAGCAATTCGCATGCTCTTTGGTGGGAACTTGATTCGCCACTGCAGGTCCAATTCGCCCTCAATTCAAGATGCTAATAAAAATCCTGCAGGGAAATGGCCACTGGCAACACTTTTGGTGCTACTGCTCTGTCGTCGTATGGTGGTTTCTGGATCTCCTACGCCATTATCCTCACCCCCGGTTTCCATGTGCTAGACGAATACTCCAAGCCCGAGGTAGCCAACGTTTTGGGCTTCTACCTATTCGGCTGGTTCATCTTCACGACCATCTTGGTCCTCTGCACACTCCGCTCCACTGTCGCACTCTTCCTTTTGTTCCTTACGCTTGATCTGGCTTTCCTATTCCTTGCTTGCGAGCAAATGGCCGCCAACCTGGGCAATGCCACCGCCGCCGTTGCGCTCCAGAAAACTGGTGGCCTGTTTGGCTTCCTTGCTGCCTTTCTTGCTTGGTACAATGCCCTGGCTGGTATTCAGGACAGCTCGTAAGTCACAAATTTGTCTCTGCCTCGCAGACGAGCCAGAAGCTGACCAAATTCGTAGAAACTCCTTCTTCCAGGTCCCCGTCATTCACTTTCCCTGGTCCGAACACGCCTATGAGCTACGCAAGAAGAAGAGTGCCGAGCACGAAGCTTAGACTGCTAGGAGCGCATTCGATATGCAAACGTGCTAGTATGCTCTCGTCTCCAAGCATTGCGGGCACGCGCACCACTTGCTGCCGGTTGCTGTTTATTTTGTGCCAGTGTTGGGGGAGTGGGGACGGATGATACCAATGATACCTGAACCGTATGTGAATGCTGCTACAATGGCACTTGCGACGTTCATCTTTATTTAATATTTGGACGAGATACTCTATCAGCTTGCCTCGCGTGTGTCTTTAGAGGCCGGCTGATCATGTAGATATCCAAGCTTTAACTAATTACTTTATATACACGACAAGCTCGGTCGAAGCTTACACTAATGAACTGGAATGATTCTCAAGCTTGGTCTCTGTAAAATCTGCAATCTGTGTGCTTGATGGACTGACAAAGATGCCCAGTCGTTGCTTGTCTAGATTGACTCTTGGGTTTGGGAGAAGGGTGGAGGGTGGAGGTGTGCCAAGACAACGACATTAATTCGCATAGAGTACCGAGTCAGATGATGGGCTAGTAAATGGGAGATGCTGTGAAGGACTAATAAGCTGATGACCGCTCCACCGTGGATAGGGACATGGTGGATGAGAGAAGTTTCTGTTTCAGAAATGGACTTTGTTCCCAGCATTCGATTTTTGCCTAGCCCTGACTGACATTTGCTTGAACCAGTATTTCTTGAGGTTATTTCGGGTTTCTCATCACACAGCTCATCACACAGACACGATGATGGACTTTGTTTCCAGCATCCGATTCTTGCCTAGTCCTGACATTTGCTTGAACCAGTATTTTTTTTTTCGGGTTTTCATTACACGGAGACGATGCGATAAGAGGCGCGCTCCCCAACCATCTGAAACAACAGAAAATTCCCACAACACGTAATATGAAAGGGTCACTGCCGACGCAACCGATACCCATATCTATCAGACGAAATTGCAATCACATTCATACAATTAATACCAGAAAGCTGCTGCTAACTGGGATAATACATATTAATGTGCCCCTTCAATCAGCTCGCATCCGATTTGTCGACCCGCCCAAATAGTTAGGTATTGGCCCTGATGCCACATATAACCAATTGAGATTGGAATTATGCCCAAACAAGCTCAAAGGGGAGCTTCTAGACTCTTGTTCCTGGCCCACTTTCCGCATGTTACTTTTGATCAGACGAAGAGCAGCCCCTTCAATTGTATGTATGTATGTACGTTGATGAATCGCATGTCGTGCTTGACTCATACAACTACGGGACCTGCATAGTATATCGCAAACTTGGAGAACCGCACTTGTCTGCTATTACTGGCTATGTTTGAGCCGTTGGATAAATAGATGGACTGTTTTTCTGGGTCGGAGAACCCTTTAATCAACCGTATTGCGTCGTACCTGATGAATCGCAAGAAAGAAAAAAAAAGGATAAAAAGGTACAAGCTGTCCTCTGGATATTGATTGAGCCTCAAGTCAGTATCACTATCGCTTCTCACCAGAATCTGGCTGCCACGACAAGGCCTACTTATTTTCCTTCTCTCAAGTCTCTCTACTCCCTATTTTTCCATCTCAACATGAAGATCAACATCAGTATCCTCGGAGCACTCGCTCTCGCTGTTGGTGCGTCTGCCAAGTGCGTCCACACCAGAATCCCCAGCCGCAGCACCAGCACCAGCACCAGCAGCACCACCGCCACCAGCAGCATCAGCAGCACCACCGACACCACCGACACCACCGACACCACCGACACCACCGACACCACCGACACCAGCAACAACAGCACCAGCAACATCCTCTACAAGGGCAAGGGCTTCGGTACCTACTACTACGACGTTGAGCAGCTTCAGGCCTGCGGCGCCGACTTTACCACCCAGAACGTCGGCAACGTCATGTGCGGCTGGGACAGCGTCAAGACGCTCAACGACATCGACTCCAACAACCTCGTCGCCATGAACAGCCTGCTGCTCAAGACCGCCGAGGGCCGTGCCAAGTACTGCGGCAAGCGGATCATTGTCACCGTCGACGGCGTCAAGTCCGACATTCCCTTCTTCGTTGGCGATGGCTGCGAGCGCTGCGCCCGCGGGGACGAGACGCAGTGGCAGTCTGGAGGGGCTGCTGGTCTCGACTTTTCCTTTTCGACGCTCAACAAGCTGTCCCCTCTGGCTTGCCAGGACGGCCACGTTGCAGTTGAGTATGAGATTGTCGATGAGACTCTGTACCACTTTGATACCAATTAAATTGTCTTCTTCTTCCACGAGAGGGCTAGTCGATTTTCATGCTTCTTTTCAACATTACCATGTATATATTTCATCCACTATTTAGGCCAGGACAGGCTACATATATACCACGTACATATTGATCGTGCACAGTCAATCGTGAGACTCTGATCCGGTAACTGGGGAGAAGCACAAGTGACGCTGCGACCGGCGCTTGAAGTGTTGAAATCTGGGTGTTTAACCTGGAACCTCCTGATTGGTACCGGATATAATATTTACCACGAGCAGAACCGTTAAAACCACTGTGGCTTGCACTCTTCTGCGCGCCCATCAATGTCATAACAGCCGCGGAACACGGCCGGCATCAATCCCTCCTTTTCACAGGTAGAGGCGCTTGAAACACCGGCCACCCCCTAATTTGGCAAAGACCTGCACGACAAGCTTCGGGTATTACCATTTCTGGAAATTAAGCTTCAAGGCTGTTGATAGGGCGATCGATGCTCAATGGCCTCCACCTCCCAAATCGTTGGCAAGCAACAAGGCAAGGCAAGGCAAAGTTCAGCCCTGACGACGTGCTAAATCTTCTAAATGTGGCGTAATTCTTGTAGTTAGCCTTGGACATTTTACAAGGCGCAGCCCAGAGCAAAAAGCACTGTTCCAGAAAAAAAGAGAATGGTGATTGCCAAGTACTTTCCAGCCTGAGCCCCCCCCAGCGCCCCAATTAAGGTGAGACTTTGGCGCTGGGCTCTGCCACCAATAAGCTGCTTCTGTGGTAGAACTTTTTTGGAGTTTTCTGGAGCTCAAGCCCATCCTCATAGGCAAACTTGCTGAAAAACTAGTAGACTAGTTGCCGCAACGGTGCCGCGAAAAGTGGAATGACACCCGCCGCGCTGACGGGAAGTCATTTCTATTTGCGGGAGGCTGTTTCTCCTGACGGGACTAGAAGAGATTGAAAGAGTCATGAGGGAGAAATGGCGGTAAATGCAAAGGCAGCTCACAATACGGCATGTCAAAAGATGTGGTGTCACATTGATACAATGTATGCGTTCACAAGAAGTTGACGTGTTTAATAAGTGACATTTCTTGCAGGGCTGCCGAGTCTTCGGTTGGTTGCCAAGGAAGGAGATGCTCATCATCTATCCCTGTTCAACTAAACATGTCGAAATGGAGACAGACGATCATCTTGGTAGCGCGTACATGACAACAGAGACTTACTAGTTGACCCAGCCAACCAGCCTTGTTCAACACATGAAATCATCCGTCTAATTAGATATCCTCCGTGCAGTGCATGTGACGGATATTCTCCTTCTGTACTCTGTAACCCCCGATCCCAACTTTCCGCAAAAGTCTCCGCGTCGATTTGCAACTCTCCAACTCAACCCGAAACCTGCTACCCGTCTTGGACCCCAATTTGTCGGACACTACAAATTTGAGATTTTCGCAGCTTCCTATACAAAGAACGAGCGACAATGTCGTCCAAATCCAGCTCGACCACCAAGTCCGAGACCACTTCGACACTCCCGCCTCTTCACAGCTTCCCATCATCGTGGACAGCCCCGACATCATGCTTTGCAAGCACAAACTACTACCGAGTGCTTTACGCCGACGGCAAGGGCCGGTTCGTCAGCAACATGTATGGCACGCCTACGCCTGTCTTTACCGGAAACACACCATCAGGCGATTGCTTTCCCCCGTCCTTTACAATCAACGTGCCCTATCTTACAGATGGGAGCGCTTGCCCGACCGGCTATACACGTGCCTGCGCGACGGCCGGATCCGCCAACGCGGGCGAGTCGGCGACTATTAGCACGATAACGTGTTGTCCCAGGTTAGTCCCCGGCATTGTCGAGTCAGGAGAGAGACGCAACAATATGCTGATGATGGTAGCGTTACCGGTGATGCTTTTTCCTTCATGTGCAAAGACAACGAATACGGATGTCACGCTACTGCCGCATCAGGCGGCATCGTCTGGACGGGTGTCATCACAGACTTGGGTGCCACCCCGGCCACGGAAGAGCCAGTAACACGCACACCTTCTACCAAGGAGGGCATCGAGGCCTGGGGCATCAAGTTTCTCTCGGTATGTTGAATGGCTGCCTCGCTGTCGTTGTCGCTCCAAAGATGACTAACGCAAGCAAATCTCTATAGGTTGCACCCGGATCAACTGCCACCAGCATTCCTAAGCCGGGTCAAAACGCGAGCGACTCTGACAACCAGGGCACGCAGTCTCCGGAAAGTTCATCCAGCGCCGGTGGTCTATCGGGAGGCGCCATTGCCGGCATCGTGGTTGGAAGCATTGCTGGGGTTGCGCTTCTAGCTATTGGCGCTTTCCTCTTGTACCGGAGAAAAAGTTCCAACTCTGGGCCGCAGTACCATGCGCCCGCTCCTGGAAAATACCCAAACCAACCTGCAAACGATCCGTACCAGCCCAGCGAGATGGAAGCGGCGTCGCCCGACCCGACACAACACGCGCTGCCGCAAACTCGAGCCCGGCAAGAACCTGTTGAGTTGAGTGCATAGATTGCTGCCTAGATGGTGCTTTGGGCCTTGAGAGCTCTTTTGGTGGTACTGGTATGAATGTGTTGGGGTAAGACAGAGTAGGAGGTTTGGAGGAACCGGGCAAAAATGGCGTTGGGCGCACTTTATTTCCTACATATGCAAGCATATCCCGGCTGTTACGGCAGGCAATTTTCATTCGTTCTTTGGGTTTGGTTATTAAAATAATTAATTTTTGGTACCATCAGGATACTGGCGTCCGTGTGGCTCACGCTTTTATCAGTACACAGAGCCGAGCGTCAAGTGATGCGATGATAAGCCATAGGGAGATGGAAAGACACTGGGATCTTGGCGCGGCAGTTGCTCCCAAATAAGACTATTCAGCTCAGGTAATTCGACGGCAAATAGACCCTTGCAGGTGCGCAGAGATCCAAACCTCTCCCGTTTAGGTTCTACAGGGCCTGTGCATGTCACTCTATTGATGTCGAGACCTCGGTGAGGGTCTGTCATCGCATATCTCAATGTCTCATCGAAAAGATTGATTGCGAAAAAAAAAAAAAAAATTCTCACCTCGCAATCAGCCTGTGTGCGGCTGAGGTGGGCTTCTGGCTGCGACACTGCACGGCACTTCATCCCAGGTGCCTGGGTTACCAGTATGGATGCAGGAGAACAGGGGAAATCCTGGAAGGGGGTGAAGTGATAAAAAATGCAGCGCAGCAGCAACAGAAGGAACCTGCGGTATGCATGTTGCTCGGCATTTCATAATTACGTGCATGCAGGAGCGGTAATGAGTTATTATAATTAGAAATCGTGAAATTTCGTACAGTAATAATAACGAAAGTCGACAGCGCCAAGACACGTGAATTGGCGTTGTGCTTAAACGCCTCGAGACGCGCCATCGCGTCCCCGCAAAAAAGGTTCACGCTCTTCGACACAACGTCATGGTGGCCCGTTGAATTCTAGGCGCCCGTGGTCATTGAGCCGTTGCGATGTGGCTGCTGGAGAATGAGGAGGCTTTTCAAGGTAATTGATCCATTTCCAAAAAAACATGTTATGCTAGTTCTAGCTGCTAACTGCGACGACTAGGCCGTCGGCTGTGGCTGCGGCCAGGAAAGACCTACCTGTTTGGACGTACAGTGGCTGAGGGTGAGTAGTGACAGATGAAGTCCGGCTGGAAACTTGCTAATGAGGGTGTGCAAACAGCCGGCCAATTGGCAATTTCTCACAATACAATCTCTCGCAAACATCTCACCATCACCATCGACACGGTTGCCGACGGCGATGCGCTGCATCCATCTCGGCGCTCCAAGATTACAATCGAAGACCTGGCCACCAAAATAGGCACCGTGGTCAATGGGAAGAAGCTAAAGGGCACAAAATACGTCGTAGAAAATGGCCAGGATGTCGAAATGACAATGGGAAAGTGTCCAAACAAGTTTCGGTACTTGCTCCACGTCGCGCTCTGATGACGCCGCTGACATGATGCTGATAGCCTCGCCTGGACACCAATCGCATTCACCTTTTCATTCTCTAGCAAAGAACTGCAAGCGAAACCGATCAATGCCCTTCAATCTCGATTCGAGCAACTGGACATTAAGTTGCTCGTCGACTACAACATTGACTTTACGACACACGTCGTCGCCAAGAAGCGCAATACCGCAAAGGGCTTGCAGGCCTTGATCAATGGCAAATTCCTCGTCACCGAGTCTTTTCTTGATGCAGTCGCGCAGGCTGCAGACTCGGTAGACGATGGCAATGGGTCACAAACATGTGCACTGGAGCAGAATTTCGACGAAGCGTGGCCAGATCCTATGAAGCACCTGCCACCCCGAGGTGGAGAGCCCTTTGAACACCCCGACGACATATACACACCAGATGCAGCCCGAGCGAATGTTTTTGACGGATACACATTCATTTTCTACGACTCGACGCAGTATAACAACCTGCTCGCTCCGATTACGAATGGAGGAGGCAAAGCAATGGTTCAAACGGTCAAACCTGGTGAGACTTTGTCGGATGAATTCGTCCGATATGTCAAAGGTGTCGCTGGAGAAAAGGGCCTCGGAAGCTTTGATGATGGAAGCGAAGGTAAAGGTGTCGTGGTCGTGCGATATTTGCCCACAAAGGGCGACCATGTGCAATGGTACACAGAGTTCATTACAGCAGTCTCGCTGCGGCTAGATCATCGACCAATCGAACAGAACGAGTTCCTGGAAGCAATCCTGATCAAGGATGCCAACATGCTGCGCCGGCCCCTAGAGGTAGAAGAGCAATCCGGTACATCGTTGATTCCATCGCAAGCGCCTCCCTCCGAGGCATCTTCCGCTCCTGCGGTCGAGCCAGAGGCAAGTACAAGACGACCTCGGATGAGGAAGCCCGTGAAGAGGCGCTTCATGGGCTTTGATGATGGCTCGGATATTGAAATGGACGATACAAAACCGCCAGCGGTAGAAACGACTCAGCCAAACGAAGCTGTCGAAGAAGATGGACTGTTTGTATCTCAAGAACCCGATCGCCCCCCCGAGCATCACTCGAATGCAACACAAAAGAGAGCCGCATCGCCGGAAGACGATCTGATGCAAGGGATGGCACCGGCCGCCGCTAGATTCAAGAGACAAAAGATTGCCATGGGTAGCGACTTTGCCGCGGAAACTCCACCTCCACCCCCACCAGAAGCTACAAAGCCAATCAAGAAGGAAAAGAAAGAGTTGAATATTCTCGCCGAAGCCGCAAGACACCGTCAGGAGCAAGAGGCTCGTGCAAGAGCTGAGCAGGAGGATCTTGCACAGTTGCCTGATGATGTTGATTTGGCGGAAATTCGGCGACTCAATATTGTTGAGGAGATGGAGCTCCGCAAACCAGAGAGCACCATGCGCACCAGAGACCAAGATGTTGCCGACGGCCGCTGGAATCCGAAATGGAACGGCGTAAAAAACTTTAAAAAGTTTCGACGTCGTGGCGAAATAGCTGGCAGACAACCCGCGCGAACAATCATTACGGTCGATGAGGTGCAGAGCAAGAAATTTGGCGTGGGAGACAACTACTGGCTCGAGGATGAAACAGCACCGCGCATCAACTCGGGCAGCCGGCTGCAGTCGGCGCCGCGAGGTGACTCGCTGCCGCCCATTTCGCGACTATCCAGCGGCGTGGGCCGCGACGCGCCTGCAGACCAAAACGAGGACAGCGATGCTGCAAATCAGGAGGAGGAAGAAGAAGAAGAAGAAGAAGACGAAGAAGATTCCCAGCCACCTCGCGGTTCCTATGGCCGGAGAACGGGCGGCATCCAGGCAAGTGCCAGCTCACGAGGCAGCCGTAGCCAGTCGTCGGTGCAGACGTCGCAGAACTTGGGGAAAAGAGCGGCACCTAGCGCGTTGTCTGGGCAGTCGTCGAAGCGGCAACGGCCGCCGCCGCAGCTGATTCAAGTGGACGACAGTGAAGATGACAGTGACGATGAGCCCAATTTTAGGTTTGGGAGGAGACGATGAGGCAGGGCCATGATATGGGGAATAAGCGTGTACGAAACGAGGTCTTGTAACGAGTCACGAAGGAGCGTATTTTACTGTATATAATTAAAAAGAAACATGGTTCTATTACCAGGGGTATCTGTTCTAATTCTAATGTATTGCTTTACCCATGCGATGCCAAGGGTTTGGCTTCAAAGTCTAACCAAACGCCAAATGTATATATGCATAAGTCGTCGCTGCAGAGCGCTTCAATCCATTGCCTCCATGTCGCTCTGCGTCTGACCGCCGCCTCCGCCGCTGCCGCCGTCGCCAGCAGGCCCAGGCTCTTCGACCAAGATGCCCACCAGGCACGCCGTCAGCATATTCTCATAATTGACCCAGGGATGGACCTCGCCAAAGAGGCGCGTGCCGTCGCGGGCGGCGCCGCGCATGAGCTCGGGCACACCGCCAGGGTGAAACTTTGCATAGGGCGTGACGTTGTAGACCTTGCCGCCGAGGGCCATCCAGGCGTCGGTGCCGCGGCGGCCCGTCTGCCGGCGGAGCATGGACGGCGTGACGCGCAAGTACGGCGTCGCTGCGGGCACGCCGCGCAGGTCCGCGCCAGGACCGCCCGAGAGACGCGCCCAGTCGAGCGGCGAGTGGCCCGGCTCGAGCGTCACCTGTCGGCTGGGCTTGGTGGTTGGGACGGATGTGTGCGTGGGTGGCGGCGCGAGGCCAGAGGAGGAGGAGGAGCGAGGGCCGCGGTTGGGGATGGGTGCGCGGGCGCGCTGCGCAGAGTTGGCGGCGGGGAATTGGCCGAGTGTTGGAGGGCGAGGGGCCGCAGAGAGGCGTGGCGGAGGAGGAGGAGGCATCATGGACGAGGCAGAGGAGGATGTGGAGGGAGTCGGTCGTAGTGGCGGCGGCGGCGGCATGGAATCGGTTGAGAGGGAAAAGGTTGGGGGTGGCGGCAGCTGTACGGCCGCTGCTTTTGGCGTCGTGGGAGATTCGGGCTGTTTGTCTGATTCAACGGCGATGGAAGGCGGTTGCACCACCGCTGCTTTTGGCGGCGGCGGCGGCGGCGGCGGCGGCGGCGGCATGGCAGCACGGCCCGCATCACGAGGCTCTACTGTCGTCGGAGCTGGCGGCGGCGGCGGCGGCGGCGGTGTCGGCCGCGTAGAAGGACCCTTTTCGTCGCGGTGGCGCGTGTCGGTGATGGCGGCGGCAACGGTCGAGCTGCGCGGCAGCCACGAGAGGAGCGCGGGCGGCAGCCATGACGGTGGACGGATGATGACGTAGACGACAGAGGCGACGATGAGGGACAGACCGATGAGGCCCATGATGGGAAGAAGTGGGCGGCTTGGGGAGAGGGAGAGGGGAAGAAAAAAAAGGGAGAAAGGAGAAAGGAGAGGCCAACGGCACAGAGGCGCGTTGATGGATTGAAGAAAGAGTGCCTGTGAGAGATTGGGAGTTTTGCAAGTCAGTTAGTTCTTGGCCGCGTGTTTTTTTAGTGGGAGCTGACAATTGGCTGCGACTTGGCTGGCACGGTGAGTGGTGGGGCGTGAATACCTACCTACACAAGACTGTAGAAAGCGCATGATGAGGATCTTGATGGTGTGATGCTACTTTGTTTGTTTGTCATGATTCTTGATTCAACTTGATCTAACCGGATCTAACTTGTGTAATTGCGAAAAGGCAAAGACGGAGATGTGAAGCCATGATTGGTTTTCTAGCAAGTCTCTGTCTTGCGGACGGGGCATCACAGTACAGTGAGAAGACTTGCGTCTTGGAAAGAAAGAAGAAAGGAATTTACGTGTACTAATGTCGGTGAAGGGAAAATCGTCTGCTACCGTGAACATTGAATTACCATGTTGTGACATGGTCTGCCATAATTCCAAAAGTGTGCCACAGCGCAGCAATGGACATGACACTCGTAATGGTCTGTGCCCTCCAAGACGCACACTCACCGACGCCACGTTACGGTACATCTCGGTCAAGTGCAGACCAGCAGTTGGAAATGGTCCTTGGCATTTTGATTGTGCAGCATAGCCAGCGAAGTGGCCGACTTGCATTCTCTTCTCTCTTTTCTCTCTCTCTCTCTCT